GAATCGCACTGGTGGCCAGATGGGCAGGTTGGGCACGAACCACAATCGGGGAGGGGGGGAGGTTGGGAGGCCGAGTTCGACCTTGGACCCAAATTTGTTTGGGGCTTGCAGCCCGCCGTGTCGATTGCAACAACGCCACTATCCAAGATGCGGGATAACTTGCACACTTGGGCTGCAACCTCCCTTACAACCTCCCCCCCCAGGTTGTAGTTGGTGCCCCAACCATCCACCCCGGACGGGCGCACTATTTCAGGAGGGGTAATCGCTACAGCGAAGTTTATTGTTGTGAAGGTCGTAGAATATTACCCAGCCGTTTTTCGTGTCTTGTTGGCACACCTACTACAGCAGGACCAAGCACTTCGAAACGTTCGTGTGAGAGAAGCAAGAACCACGTCGAATAGCGAGAGAGAGAAGACGCACTCGTCGTCGGTGTCCTTACTCTCCCGTTCAGCCAATAATACTGAGGTTGCAATCAAACGAGTTTTTCCGCACATTTTTGGAAGGATAGCACCGCCTCGGATACGGTTGTACATGCCAGCACCGCAACTTTTGGAGTCATTCAGTCATTTTGTGATGTGTCTCCACGTCTAAGCCACAAGACTACGATGGGTTCAAGCGAATTCAGCCAGACCGCCACGCCGCGGTGCAAGCCTAAGAGGTAGATAGTGCTGGCCTCCATCTAGCTCGATCGTTCGGGGTCGTGTGGGTGTGTGCGTTTTATTTTGCTCTTCTGTACTCATCGAGGTTTGGACACAGCACGCAATACACGAAAGCTGCATCGCCACGGTCGAGGCGGAATCCCTTTTCTTGCCCAAACAAATACAGCCATTATTTCGTTCGGAGATACTATTGTGGTCTGCTGGTCAAATAGCCGTCTTTTCATATTTTTTGGTTGGCACTTTCCACACCGGAGTCGTGTGGGCACGGCTATTGTGTCTCGAACACTTTACTGGTGCCGGAGGGAATCGATGTACGCTTGAATTTTTGCCAGCCAGTGTGATTTCCCGAGTCCCGCCTCTCTCACTCTGGAAGCGAAACCGACAACTGAACAACATTACGCCGAGCTCGATTCCCCTCCCTATTGTTGTGCGAATGGATGACGTTAGCCTTTCAACCGACCACTGGTCCAGCTTACTCCGCTTCACAGATGGAGCTGTGGTCGACGATCAAATTAGTTACCCCGTTGTCCACCGACTCCGCTCTATGGATTCGTTTCAACAATGGATTTGATCATCCGGAACTGCGCTGCGTTTTTGCACAAACGCACCCCCCGCGGGGCGTCGTTTTAGGCGTTTCACCTGCCCGCTTTTTGTGCTGAGGTGTGCGATGGAGGTGCGCCCTGACTCGCCATAGTTATCTGGGAAAAATCAAAGAATACTCCCCTCTTGAGACCTCTGGAACAGGAAACACTCGTTGACGTGTGTCGATTCTCTTTCATTGCCCCTCATAGCTGCGTTATTCCGACCAAACGTTAGCCACAAGTATGTTGAGATTGACGTCCATGGTCTCTACCCCGTTCCCTCCCGTTTGCGCGTCGTTCGCTGCCTTTTTTTCTCGTTCTGTTCTGCAAAATGTCAACAGGGCTGGGTACTGTCATTGCAGGGTTGCTCACATGCAAGTTGAAGAGCATGTTCACGGGCATTCTGCAGCTGGTAACCGCCCCGCTAGTGGTCGGATGGGTGTGGTCGGTCATATGGGGCTGGGAGCTGTGGAAACACGCGAGGAGGCATCCCTTCACACCCCTCCTTGACCCTTAAGAGCTGCCCCTCGACTCTTGATGTCATCCCCGTGATAAGAGAATTTGGCAAACGGTGCGGTCGGCGTAGACTCAGGTGATGCCCACGTGGCACTCGAAACCGTTGCCTGTCTCTGTCGGAAAAATTCTCGATTCGAGTAATTGGATTGCTTCCGGAACGGGGGTCCTGTATAGGGTCGGGCCGCCTCGATATCTTGCTGTACTGTAGGTTCTGCTGCTGGAGCAACCAATACAGCAAGACGTGTTGAACGCAGATCGATGCAGCGCCTCACGGTATTGATAGCTGCTTCCACACATACCCTCGTTGCTTGCTGTGTGATACTGTTGGTCCCGTCTACGCTGTCGCCGTAGGCCTTGCGAGGCGCGGAAGAGCTTTTGCCGTCAGGTTGTCCGACGCACTTGTCGTTGAAACGCGTCGTTAGATCTCTACGTGTTATACGGCTTCATGTGTTGAGTTTGAAGCCCGCAAGTGAATCACGTAGCTTCCGTCAGACGTTTCGATCCCGTTTCTTGTAGAGGCCATGTATGGTGCGGCGACAACTAGCCCCGTGTGTCGCGCCAATCCTTATCAGGTTTTCGTGATGACGACGACGTCGGTACACGGCGTCGTTTGGGTACGAGCGTGTAGAATTATATATGGCTGCGTAGTCCGCTGAATTCGTCGCGTTGCGAACATCACCTAGGTTAACTCGTGCAGATTCCGCCGCGGCCACCCCGCACGCTTCAGCTCCCTGCTGCCCTAGGGAGGGCGGCGAAAGCAAGCGCCTGTTTGTGTTTTCGAATGCAGGTTGTTTAAGGTCGAGGGTGTTTTTGTTGCTGCTTTTCCTTTGGTGTTGTACGGCCCGAAAGAGACTTGGTGCTTTTCAAGGCGGAATGATCACCGTTGCATTTTTTGTCAAGACTCAGGCCCGAAAATTGATTTCTTGCCCGACGAAGTGGTGACTGCACTTTCACAGTTGCGGTATGTGATTGTGCGGTGTGCGGCGGGCGATTTCCGGTATGTTTGGTTTTCCCCTCTCAGCCTATTATCTTGCTCGTGTGTGCTTGTGTACGTGGCACGAAAGCCATGTGTCCCGTTCTTGTAATCGTATTGTCGACGAGTTTGTCCAGGGTTTGAGAAGGTTTCCCCACGACCACGGTAGTCGCTGTCGTATACTTCGAAGCTTATATTGCCTGCTGTTGTGAAAAAGTTTTGAAGGTAAAATTTTTCGGATAGCCTGGGGGCTTGTTTTGTTTGTCAGAAGCACCGTTTCGTTATTTATTGCCGATGGTTACGGTTGACCTTCTTTCGTTTGTTTTTTTCTTCGTTTCCGAACATGATTTCAAACATGATCGCGCGCATTCATAGAGCTCGATGTGATAAAAGCTTTTCGCACAAGTGTTTCGGCCAGAGTTCATTCTGGGCACCTGGACGCTTTCTGGCCACTGCTCGTTTATTTGCTACACAGTGTCTGGCTTGAACTTTTCGAGCAACGATGAACGCCGAGAGATCCAGTCTGCCCCCATTATCCAAATGCTCTCTTGGTATCGAGCGTTCATCTTTCGGGAAATACCCCTTATTACCACGAGATGGCCACCCAAGGAGACGTTCCAACGAGGGCGCATGTCCGGAATGGAGCCCGCAGTGTTCACAGAACGCCTACGATGTAGAGGTGCGTTCTTCCTTCGGACATGTATCGATCCGTCATGTTTGGGCAGGGACTGGTGACTTCCCTGTTGTTTGGCGACCGCAATATTCCATGGTTTGTCTCCCCAATGTGCCGCCATCAACTACTGTAGACTGCATATACGGAGTATATTTTTAATCTAGCATGCGTAGAATTTCGCGCACAGCATTGTGGGATGCTTCAATGGACAGCTTCTCCAAATGTAGTCAACATCTAAATCTGGGTGTGTCAGGTTCCGCCTTGCCTTCCCTCCAAACTTGGGGAGGCAAGGGAGAGCAGTACGCTTTCCTCTACTGCTCGGGCCATCCCCTTAGCTCTGTTCTCCGGGTTTGGTTTTGCCCCGGATGCAAACGTTGTGGCGAAGTGTGTCCCCTCCGACATGCGGCGTTGAACTAAAACGTTTCACTTCGAACAGGAAACTATGTGTTGCTGTGAAACTGCTCCCGGCACATGGCATTCATACACGTGTTTGGTCCATGCATACAAGCGCACGGAGCTGCCGCGTTAAACCACCATGAAAATTGTCCGACTTTGTGCAACACGAGGTCGCAATCGAAGCACAGCCAAGTAACAGTGTCGTTGGCGCTCTCAAAAACATCTTCCATGAACTACAATAGAAGAACAACATAACAGAACGTCAGCGCCGGGTTTTCGATTTGCAACACAACCATCTCGATGAACTTCCCAGCAGTGGTGGTCTTTCACTACCTGGTGCCACAGACGCTAACGACACACCTAACACGAGCTCGAACCAACACTGGGGTACCACATACTTGGCGAATACAGCCTTGAACCCCTGACTAGAGGTACCCCGGATGGAACGGGCACGTTTCGACGATGTGCCCCTCTCTCAGCGTCTACATAATCGACGGATGAACTAACGATTCTCAATGAATATAAGACCGAGAGAAATACCTGATGGTTCGTAGTATTGACCCACGGTGCTCCCGAGTCTACCGGTTCTATTCGAAGACCGGCTGCACTCACGCGAAATGTGAGGACGTCTACAAGGAAACATGTTTTTTCCTCTCCTTCTGCTACTATTTTGCTTGGTTTCCCACATACCCCCTCCGGCGAACAACTCTAGCCTCGACAATGAATGGACACCGTCTCCCCTTTTAAGCACCTGCATGGGACGATACGTTTGCGGCCTACGCCACTTATTTGTCGGGTGAGACTGTTCTGGTGGAACAGCAAGGAGGGGCCCCGTAAATCATCGCGGTGCCCCCTGCCAAATGTCAATCTTACCAGTCTGCGTGATACCAAATCATCCAGCACATGGTTCCAACAACAATGTTCGCAGACCCACGAGCACCCTCCCTGGTTCTTCACGCAAGTGACCAATCATCAATGGGGCAAGAACGCCCCTGGATGCATCAGAAATACCAACATGGTAGTATATGGAGGGGAAACCCGGCGTCCGGGAAAAACCCCTCGAAAAAAAAAAAAAAAAAAAAAAAANCCTCCGGACGATGGTCTCCCAACGCCCCCTACTCCTGCCATTGGCATACAGACCGCAACAGTTATGCGCCTTTCCCCGCATGGAAAACGTGACCTCTCCCAAGTGCTAGAAACTGTTACAGATACTCCGGCAAATTCATCAACTTGCGTCGGTGGTACTGCAGACTAGCCCTGCTAAGGGCCTTGGTTAGGAAGTCCGCGTGTTGCTCCGTTGTCGGAACAAACATGACCGATATATCCCCCGACTTAAACAATCCGCGGATGAAATGAAATCTCACGTCGATGTGTTTCGTGCGGCCTGAGCTGAGGGGGTTCTGCACCAACGCCATGGCCCCCTGGTTGTCCTCAAGGACCTGGATGCTGCTACCACTGGTCTCTGGGGCAACAGACGAAAGCACAGCACCCACAAACAACACCTCCTTGACGCCCTCCCCGGCAGCTATGTATTCGACTTCCGTCGAAGACAAAGCCACGATGCTCTGTGTCTTGCTACCATGGCTGACTACGGTACCTCCAACCGTCGTCGCCAACCCTTACACCGAACGCCTATCCTCCGTGTCGCCGTAGCTAGCGCCTACGTACACGGCCAGCCCTTACCTCGATCCGAGGTCCTTCGTCTCCTTCAAGTAGCCGAGGATCTACTGGATAGCATCCCAGTGCCTCTTCGCTGGGGCGTGGGCGTGGGGCGCTACCGCACGCACGGCGAACGAAACGTCTGGACGCGAGAACGTCGACACCCACATCATGCTGCCGATGGCCTCCCTCACCGGCCACTCCCCTCTCTTCTCGTCATCTCGCTTCGGTCCTAGGTCGACACCAGGGGAAGCAGGGATGCGGGAGGTCGATTGTACATCAAAGCGTTTCACCATGCTATCAATGTACGCGGTTTGCGAGATTCTAAGAGTCCCAGCCTCTACATCTCTCTCAATGGCACATCCGTCAAACCATTCGAACTCTCCAAGATTTTTGGTGGGGAATTTCTTGTGGAGAGAAGCAAGCAACTCCTCTCAATCCTCGTCAGACCCAGCCACCAAAATGTCATCCACGTAGATCACGATATTCATCACCACGACTTCGTCTACCATCTTGCGGAAAACCCACGGGTCCGCCTTACACTGCTCGAACCCGTTCTCGACTAGCGTATCAGCAGCGTGGGACCCCCATCGCCTACCGCTCTGCTTCAGACAGTAAATCGCACGCTCAGCGTTAACGATCTTATGCGATTGGTCCCCGCACCAAGCGGAGAGCCTCAGAAAAACCTCGTCTAGCGTGGCGTGTGTATACGCCTGCTTCACATCCCAGTGATTGAGGTTCATGCCCTTCTCGTTTGCTACCGCAAGAATCAGTTTAGTGGATGCGGATGATGGGCAAGGGGAAGACGAATGGAAATAATCGACGTTCGGGATTCGCGAAAAAAAAACTAGCAACCAGACGCGCTTTGAACTTTTCTGTCTTCCCTTCCATGTTGGTCTTCCAACTAAAACCCCACTTTGAGCTCAGGCCTGCGCCCCTCTGGCGCGCCGCCTACAATCGAAAACGTCCCCATGCCCAAGTGCCCTTCAAACTCTTCCCTCATGGCCTGTTCCCAACCCTCTCTGTACACAGACTTGGCAACGCCGGCTACGGTTATGGGGGGGGGG